AGTGTGTGTGTGTGTGTGTGTGTGTGTGTGTGTGTGTGTGTGAGAGTGAGTGTGTGAGAGTGTGAGTGTGTGAGTGTGTGTGTGTGAACACTGTTCATGCTCTGGATCTCCTCAGGTTCTGGAGGAGGAGCGTCTGGCTCAGAATGCGGATCTGATGGGTCAGGTTCTCCGCGCTGAGCTCAGCAAGCTTCCGCTGGAGATCGTGAGCGGCGTCCGCGGGAAAGGCCTCCTGAACGCCATCATCATCAAAGAGACCAAAGGTCAGAACCAGATCCACCACAAAACCACCATCCATTCAAACCAGTCTACAGGTTCACATGCATATCAGTGAAATTATCTCAGTGAAAGGTGTAAAATTTTGGAATTCATTGCCTGACTATTTAAAATATACTGTAAATTATAATCATTTTAAGAAAGCCACGAAATCTTGGTTGATACATCAACAAACCTGTAGTCATGTTTAGTGTATTTATATTATAAATTTGTGTACTTCTTGTTTATTGTAATTGTAATTTATAAAAGCCCTCCTAGGGACAAGTGTTGCAAATTAGCTTCGGCTACAAGCACTATGGTACAGGCATGGGATGATTGTTTTTACATTTTCATCTATGTTTATTGTATCTGTCCCTAACAAATAAAACATAAAAAAAACAAAAAAAAAAACACTGCATCACCGTCAGAAGCTCTTGCTCGCCCGGTTAAACAGCACAGTCACTGAGCTGAAGATCAAACACAGGTGATCTGAGGAGTGTGGGCGCGTGCAGGTCTTTATTTGGGTGGAAAACATCAGCTGGCAGCAGAAAGAGTCGAAGATCAGGTTTCAGCTGGTCACAAACATGCATTTAAATTTTTCACTCTTATTTACGACATCAGGATTTTGAGTGTATTTTAATAGAGAAGCAGGTGTGTTAGCTCCTGTAACCTGACAATTGTTTCATTTTACACAGTTAATGACAAATATATGCTTTAAAGTAGAAAAAACAGTAGGAAAACAGAGGCACACAGTTACACAAGAATGAGAGAGAGATATTCAGAAGTAATTTATTGTGCCAATCGGCAGGTTTTCAGTTCTTTTGACTGATTGTTTCCAGCCATTAGACTGCTGTGCATTGAAGTAGTTCACCCAAAAATTAAAATGTGCTCATCCTCAGTTCAGTAAGATGAGTTTGTTTCTTCATCAGGTTTGTAGAAATGTAGCATTGCATCAGTGTCTCAGCAATGGATGC